TGTGACCTGTTGTTCACATGTTGTTTACATCATGTGACCTGTTGTTTTCCTTCTTTTCTCTGTGTTTCAGCCATCTTCCAGATCATCCAGAGCATCCGACAGGGCATGTGATGATGAACTTTGACCCCGGAGCCAGCTGCCTTCATGACCCCGCCCACCACACACACTCATACAGGTCTTTCTCTCTTTATGGGGACACGTGATTACTTCCTGCTTCTCCTCCTAAAAACTCAACCCTGGACCCTGGAACCAAGTCTGGACCCTCAAACAGAAGTCTGCCGGTCTGAAGTCTCCCATCAGTTAGGACAGTGTCCTCCGAGCGTGTCCTCTCTCAGCTGGTCTACCCCCCCACCCCGGTCCCCACAAACCGAGAAAGACAAGAAGAGTTCCTCCTGAGGTTTTTAGTTTTTTTAACGTTGTCTCTGTTCAAGCTGATCTCTGGTCAGTTGTTGGTGTTTTCAGATGAAGTCTTCAGCGTGTCGGTCGTCAGCTGCTCGGTGTCGTCTCTGCTTCGCTTTAAAGGGACATTTCTGCTGTTTGTTGGCTCTTTAATTCTGAATGCTGTGAAGAGTTTCTGCTTGTTTATGAGAATTATTTAAATATATTTATGAAGAGACTTTGATGGTAGTCATCTCTGAGGAGCCATATTTCACACGTCTCAGCCAAATGACACGTTTCAATCAATAAAAACACAAAATGATGCTGGTTAAAGTTTACAAAATGCTGAATGAGACGTTTGTGTTGCAACGTGAACAGTTTAAATCGTCACTGAATAAATCAGATGAAATGTGTGTTTTCTTCCTGGGTGTAGAAACGGTCGAGGACAAACGTCCAAAACAATCTGAGACCCGTCTGGACGACCGTCTGTGCTTTTATACAAAATAAACCTGCGATATTTTTCTCTACGACTCCGAACTGCGTCTTCTTTCACACTGAGCTGCTCTGAGGTCAGCAGGACGTCGACCTCGGCTCTGATTCACCCAGAAATACCCAGAGAGGGATACGTCTGATAAATGATCAGGCCTGTTTTAAACACTGCATTAAAAACAGTTTCCTCACAAACAGGAAGTGTTTGACTAACAAACAGGAAGTGTTTATTTTTTCAACCTTTCTACAGGTGAGTCTCGTTGAGCCTCGACTCATTTACAAGAGAGACCTGATTTAACAAAGAACAGATGAGGTACAGACAATAAATAAAATGCAATTAACATAAAAATAGTGTTATAATAATAAAATCAAGTTGTCTTATAAAACAAGGTAAAATAACATTTTTGCTTTGATTTTTCTATCATTCATCACTTGCTCTTGTCGAGGGCGGACGTCTCCTCTCCTCTTTACTTTTGCTCTGTCCCGTCTGTGAAACTGCTTCTTCTACAAATATTCTGAATCATAATTTATGGGTTTGATCAGTTGGTCCCTCAACACAATTTATAACATTTCTTCGAAGAGAAGGCAGGCAGGCGAGCTGATTTGTCCTGTAGGCACGCAGCTGGATATCTCATCGACTTTGAAGACTTGACGATGTGTCTATCTCTGCCGTCATCTGTGGATTTTAAGGACACATTTATAATTGGTTTAATGAAAACTGGTTCCTGGTCTATCAACAATCAAGGAAGTTGTCGGCAGCAAATCTGGACCTGGTCAGGCTGCTTGCCTTATGATGGCTTGGTTCGTGCCTCGAGCTCCCAGACTCAAATGCTTTTCAGGATGGATCAGATCTCGGGGATTATTCTCAGGCACGGTCCATCGGTGTGGACATTTAATTTGGATGTTTTGGAACCGAGTGGACCGACACAGACTCAAGGCAGATGTCATTAAAGTTCTGCCTGTCCCCAAAACAATTGTGTTTATCTGAATTCAGCTCCCTGACTGGCCTTGACAGACCATCTTATATGAATTCGCCTGCCCGCCCCTCCCCCCACATTGAGGAAGTCTACAGACCAATCAGAGGGGCCCGGCTGAATAAACATTCTGTCATCATGTCAGGACTCTTTGGATTCTATCTAATGTTGTACTTTGCCGTCCTCGACACCCCCTGAGAGTGTACGGATCTCTCCAGAGGGATCTATGTGAACTTGAGCGATTTACCAATAAAGTCCATGCTCAATAATTTACCACTCTTATGGAAACTCTTGCAGTGCCTCTGTGTGTTGTCTCTGGACATGCTCACCCTAAACAAATCAAAGTTGAGAGCTTCAGATCTTGTTGCAAGGTGAAACAGGAGCAAAGTAAGAAAAGGCCGAGTTCAGTCTGCACTGAGGGGACACTTCAGGTAATGGTGACCTGAGAGCGCACGCTGTAGCTGCACTGACGACGTGACATGTAGGAGGGGATATAAGAAGGTAGCAGACCAAGGCATTTATAGATGAAGATGCTCTCAGTCCAGGATTGAGACTGAGCGCAGCACGATGGCTCAGTGGTTAGCACTGTTGCCTCACAGCAAGAAGGTCCTGGGTTCAATCCCTGATTGGACCTGGGGTCTTTCTGTGAGGAGTTTGCATGTTCTTCTTGTGATTGTGTGGGTTTTCTCCAGGTACTCCAGTTTCCTCCCACAGACCAAAAACATGCATGTTAGGCTGATGGTAACTCTAAATTATCTCTAGGTGAGAGAGAGTGAATGGTTGTTTGTCTCGTTTGTCTCTATGAGTCCCTGTGATGGACTGGAGACCTGTCCAGGGTGTCCCCCGCCCCTCGCACAGTAATTGCTGGACATGGGCACCGGCGACCCCCGTGACCCAAAATGGAAGAAGCGGGTAAAGAAAATGGATGGATGGATGGATGAAACATAATTTGAGCAACATCTGGAGTCGGTCTGTGGAAACTAACGGTTTATTCATTTATGTTTTTAATAACAATGAAAACTTCAGGGGAAATAATTTGACATTCTCACATAATGAACAAACAAATAACCAAACATAACCGTGACAAAAGTGAAATAATTATGACTCTATCCTCACAGGCAGACATTAAAAATCACTTTGAACAAGAATCTGCAAGAATGACATCATTCACAGCTTTTATTTTGAAAGCCACTCTACCGTAATGTTAGCGCGCGCACAACAAAACCGCTGTGACACTTTTATCTTTAAAGTTTTTAAAGTTCGCACTTTGACAGAAAATACTCACTCTGTGCCACAAACATGATCCCAAAACACGAAACTGTCTCCAAAATAACTTTAACAGCATTCCTGCTGAACACAGAGTTGATGTTTAATATAATTAAATCAATAAACGAACAATTACTGTAAACCTATTAAATAATTACATATAAAATGAATACAGTGTATAATAAACAAAACGAATAATTAAAAATACAAATGTTTAATTAAGCTAGTGAACTTACAGAATACTGCTGTGCCGTGATAAATGTTTATTGAAGTAAAAAATAATTTATCTGAGCACCTACGACAACTCGTAGCTCCTTACAAGATGGCTGCCGATGAATCTCGCCTCGCACCGTCCGTGGCCACTCAGTGTTTCTCTACTTCAGTTTTCCCTCTTTTTCTGAGCGAACCGCTCCAGCTGGTTCAGGTCTAAGGGACGGGTTCGGGTGAGGTTCTATTTGATTAGTTCGAGGCGAACTCTCCGTCCTGCCTGTTCTAACAGAACCTCAACCGAACCCACCTTCGTTGCTACGCAGTGACGTCAGACCCAGAGAACATGGCGGCTGTGCAGAAGGCGGAAGGTAAGGATCTTTAACTGACTGCTCTCTTGAACCGCCTCCTGCTTCGGTGCAGAAGCTTCTGTTTTTACCTGCTTTGTTTTACCGGATAGTCTAGCCCGGGTTAGCCCGCTTTAACCCGGAGCTCCGGCCGTGCAGGCCGGCTAACGGAGCTGTTGAGTATGCCCAGCGGCTGGGCTGCTAACAGCAAAACATCAGCGATATTTGTGAATATTTCCTAAAGCTGCTGCGGCTCCAGCTGCAGGCTGAGCACAGAGCAGAGAAATCCGCCATGTTTCTGTGAATCTGAGAAACCTGCCGTGTTTCTGTAAATCTGTCGTGAAGAGGCGCAGCTGCCGCTGAGCCGGAGCTGCTGAAGGCACCAACCCGGGGCAGAGGCTCCCACAGGCGGCTGCAGCAGCCAGGCGAGTCCGCGGTGTGAGCGCGGCCTCCAGGAGTTGCGTGCGTGTGAGCAGACATCTTTTAATTTATTATTTTTTATTCTTATTCTCTGCTTCAGACAAAGTGTTTCAAACATTTAATCAATAATTAAATGACTAATGGAGGAAAAATAATAGTTTGTTTTCTGTAAGAGATCATCAGTGGAGCTGACACACGCGCGCGCGCACACACACACACCATGAGAAGCAGATTCGGTTGTTGCTAGGCAACTGGGAGACACTGAAGGAGTCTGTAGCTGTTGTTTCCCATTGATCACACTGTTGAACTCTGTCTCTGTCTCTGTCTCTGTGTCTGTCTGTCTCTCTGTGTCTGTCTCTGTGTCTGTCTGTCTCTCTGTGTCTCTGTCTGTCTGTGTCTCTGTGTCTGTCTGTCTCTCTGTGTCTCTGTGTTTCGTGTCTGTGTCTCTGTGTCTGTCTCTGTGTGTCTGTGTGTCTCTGTGTTTCGTGTCTGTGTCTCTGTCTGTCTGTCTCTCTGTGACTCTGTGTTTCTGTCTCTGTCTCTGTTTCTGTCTCTGTGTCTGTCTCTCTGTGTCTGTCTGTCTCTCTGTGTCTGTCTGTGTCTCTGTGTCTGTCTCTGTGTTTCTGTGTCTGTCTCTGTTTCGTGTCTGTGTCTCTGTCTGTCTGTCTGTCTGTGTCTCTGTGTCTGTCTGTGTCTCTGTGTCTCTGTGTCTGTCTCTGTGTCTGTCTGTCTCTCTGTGTCTCTGTGTCTGTCTGTGTCTCTGTGTCT